CATCTTAATACCTTATACCATTAAAAATGTGTCTGACTGACAAAAGAAAACATGGAATGCCTAAATGGACTGTTTTTGGCAGTACAGTGGACCCCTAACAAAATGAATTGTGAATGTTTATCAGTGTTTTTCGAAGAAATTGTTGGGTTGAAAAGTAGGGGTCCACTGTACAATGTCAGAGCTACTGATTTTTGAATCTAAGTGATTTTGGTCATTATTAGGAAAACCCTGGAAAGTGGCTAAATATCAGCACTTAAAAAAATTAAAATCTTATGAACTGTTTTATTGTCATCTTTAAATTCTCTATAAACAAATGTCTTTTGTTTTGCCAGGCATGTAAAATGAATAAAATATTGAAGAAAAAAGGGTGGTCTACTATTTTTTCCATGGTCATTTTAAAGAGACATAACTTTACTTAACCTTATTTTGAATGGCATACATTCATCAAAATAACTGCATAGTCAACACTTGTCCTACATCTTATATGTTGCGGAGTTTACCAAATATTGTACACTCGGAAAGGAAGGGAGAGAAACCACCATACAAAAAATAAGATCAAAGCTGTCATATTTACTGTATCGACCATGCAGTTGTGGCACATGGATTGTTTCTAGTTATCTCTGACTTCCTCTGAGGCTATGAAGGTGCGGAAAATTGGTTGTGTGATTAATTTAGATGAATGGTTTACTCTGATGTCCTACACACACTCATTTATCCTAACCTAACCTCTAATTGCTTTACGTGTAGTCCGTTAAGATAATTGGGACACATGCCCCAATGGCGACGGGGCGTGTGTGTTTACTTTTATGTGACTTGACTCAACAGCGGTTGTTAGACTGGAGAAACAAATGCAAATGAAAGTATATCTGCATCCGGTAGAAGCGGTTAAAATCACTCAGGGCAGAATCTTTCCCGTGTGACAAGTCATACTTTGGCATCGAACTCATCCCTCACGGCCGAATCATTAGGTGTGGTCTTTCACTGAGTGATGTCGTCATTTTGCAGCGGATGAATCACAAGTCATGTTCATTAAAGTCCGTCCACCAACTGCATGCTGGCTTCATTGGTTATTTGCTGAAGATTCAGTGAGCGACAAACCAGGCGGTTCCACTTCCAACCGACATGCCTTGGTCTCAGGGGGCTCAAATGAACTGAAAAAGGAAGAAACCTGTTCAAATGTTATTTCAATATCAACAATAAACTAACAGGAAACAACCTCCATGGTGAGGGTAGTAAACAAATGGAATGTTTCGTTTTGCAAAGACCAGATGAACATGCGTTGTGCATTTGTAATGAACTTACTAACTCATCAGTGGGGTCATATCCAAACTGTATCTTCCGTAATTGTAGCAAAATGAAACCGACACCTCGATAAGGGCGCCAAGTTACATCAACAATGCGTGCCTTGAGGTTCAGCTGCCGAATTGGTCGAGCAAGCGATCACAAATGCAGTACAGACCTGTTACTTAACAGGGCTACTTGACCCTGGAAGGGATTGCATACCAGAACTCCTATATAGGTCTGTACACAGCGATACTGTGGTTGTCCTGTCAAGTTCCTAGAACTGAAGGTGGCCATGAGGAGAGAGAGCTTCTTTGGCAACAAGCTAATTTTCATTGGAGACAACATATATCACCACAGGAGGACCGAGAGCTTGTGAGACAGAAGTAGAGTGAGAGTGAGAGACAGAGTCAGCCTAAAAGCATGTGGCCGTGAAAGAGGAGAGGAGTGCTCTCAAGGCTGCTGCTTTGGCAGATGGCAGTGAGCCAAGTCAAGGGACTTGGCTGTAAGTATTTCCTCTTTGACCTGACGACAGCAAAGGCAAAGTCACAAGTAGTGTAACTACTGGTATTTCGGTGCCTCACCTAAAAGTACAAAAAAAGAAACACAGAGCTTTGACTTCACCTCTTATCTCTCCTCTACATCTGTATTTACAGGAGGATCCAATTATTTATTTAAACTTTATTTAACCAAGGTAGTCCCGTAGAAGTCACCGATCCCTTTTCCAAGGGAGACCTAATTAACAATAGCAACAATAGAGTTTCGAAATAAAGCACACTCGTATATAATGCCCTTGACACCTGAATTTATTTCCACTAATTAAGAAAAATGTGGGGTGTGGTTTTGCTTTTAAGTAGATGCTAAATTAAGTTGAGAATATTAATTTCAGTGTATCACATAAATAAATATAAATTTTGGTATGATGCAAATTAGTGACAACAGGTGTTCATGTTGAAACAAAAATTAAGGTTTCACATCGATGATTTCTGATTCTTCAACTGGCTCTTACCTCTACTTTCCACTGCAAAATTACCTGTTGCGTTACGTACCTACAGATCTGTCACACATGCACATTATATATCGTGCTGTGAAATAGTATTGCCCCGTATCTGATTTCTGTGTTCTTTGCATATTTATCACATACAAAGGTTTCAGTTCATCAAATCAATTTTAATACCACAAATAGACTGCTCACGCAAATACAAAATGCAGTTTCTAAATGCCAATTTATTTAGCCACCAAAAAATCCAAAACTACCTGTCCGTATGTGAAAAAGTAACTGCCCTTCCCTCTTGTTAAATCACAAAGTCAGTTTTGAGAAAGCTGAGTTCAATTGCACAGGCAACACTCAAGCGCCATATTTGTTGAATCAAGAAATCCCATTCATAGAATCTGTTAGACAAAGTGACGTAGGCTACAAGATCTCAAGAAACAAACTCATCATGCCATGATCTGAAGAAGAAATTACAAAAAAAATCTATTTAAATCTATCAGTCTGGAAAAGGTTGTACAAAGCCATTTTCAATATTCTGAACTGGATAAAACAGTGGCATACATTCACAACAACACAGGAGTGGTTGACCAGCTAAAATTACTCAGAGTACGACAACAATTCATCCCGGAGGTTGCAAAAGAACCTAAAACAAAACCCAAAAAACTCCAGACCTCGCTGGCCTCAGTTCAGGTCAGTGTTCACAACTCTACCACAAGAAAGACACTTGCCAAAAATGGCATCCATTGGGAGTTTTCCCCAGGTGAAAACTACTGCTGTCCAAAAAGAACACAAAGGCTCGTCTCATATTTGCCAAAAGACAACTTGATGATCCACTTTGGAAAAACATTCTTTGGACTGATGAGTCCAAAATTGTTTCCCCCAAAAAATGGATGAGTCATTCAGTAGCGTTGTTAAGCAATGGTGGGGGATCCTGCACTGTACATTTTGTTCACAAGCGTCATCGCGGTGGCACCACGATTTGTTGTAATGAAGGCATTATCACGATTTTGTGGGAAAAATCTGGTCGTTATAATGACGTTTATGTGATAAAGCAAAATCGGCAAATGGAAAATCAATTACGTGAAATCGGGACTTTGAAATGTGACTGTTACAAGGGTGAAAATGTGAAGATGTTCGTGTGTGTGCGTGTTTGTAACACACGTGTTTTTGCACACCACAACATCAGTGTGGCTGGTGACTCTCAAGTTCCACTTGTCATTTTTTTTAGCTTTAGCTTTATTTGTTTCTCACGCTGGTTGCACTCTAGATTGTAGTGTGAAATCCCAACATTTGTGCTGCCAAAGCGGCATATTAAACGTTATGCGGCAGCAAGCCATAATATTTAATAGAAATGTCAGAGTAACTGCTCCGGGTACAAATGACCAACACAAAAACAGAGTAGGGTTGGGCATTATTGAAATTTGAATGATTCCGGTTGCCACTCCGTTTCCAAACAATGCTGGATTTCGATTAATTTTGGAGTGTCCAAACAATGGCCATCCATTTTTAGCGGCTTGCAGCACAAACTAAAATAACATTTAAAACTGCTCGTGTCATTTGCCTGCCTTGGACTGGGGTCCTTCCCTTTCTACACCGAGTGGCAACACAGCAGAACAGAAGAAGTTTGTTGTCATCTCTCACTTCCTTGTTTTCAACCAATCAGTCATCATTCAACCGGGGCACGAGCCACAGCAAAATCTTGAAAAATGATTGTTTTGTTTTATTACCTACCTGCTTTTCTTTTTCGACAATATTGTGTATAATTTTTGGATGAACTCTTCTGAACTTGTCTACAAAGATATACTGTAACGATTACATTTTCACTTAATTTGACGAGGAATTTCTCACAGGGCTATTTATTAAATTTATTTTTTTTACCAGTATTATTTATGAACTTGAATTCATAAGCAGTGTTTGAAGGATCACTTAGAAAATGTATGTTTATATACAGTAGTTACTCGTGATCTGTTAAAAAATGTTGTTAGTAATTTAACCTTAGTACCACATTATTAAAGTAATGTAACTTGATTTTTTTTAATTACTGGATAACTCCAATACCAAATATGGCAATGAAGACTAAAAATACACAAATCACTATTTATTGGGACTTTTTGGTCCAATGACTATTGAATAATATACATGGTTTTGAAGCACCCAAATTGTAAATCTCAGACGGACAGGCAGATAGATGAATTGGACGCCATGTGAAACAACTGCTTATTTGCACGAGGTAAGCCGTTGTCAAGCCATCCCTGCAGGCAGCACCATACAGATACTTTATTCAAACCGTCTGGAAAAGTAGATTTGATTGCTTCATAAAGTTGTTGTTACAACTAGTGACATCTTTTCACACACACACACACACACACACACACACACACACACACACACACACACACACGCACACACGCACACACAGCATAATGATATGACGTGTGATGATACGTGACGTGTAACTCCTAAAAATAATGGTGTTACATTAATTCAAGTATCCCATACCCGAGTTGGGAGCAGGTGCTTTTTTTTTTTTTTTTTACCGTTGTCATAAAGATCTGATATTCAGGGGTCTAAAAACACAAACTCAATGGCCTCATCAGTGTCAAACAATGTCATGAAAAGTCATGAAGTTACACAGAGGCACTTGATCAACATATAGTAGATGTGCCTGGGTTGTGTCATCTGCTGTTTACTATGGCATGTTGACAGTACATTGTGATCATTTCAGCACTGGACTGTGTTTACGGAGGTCTCAGAGGTGTTCATCCTTGTTCCGGCACTACTGGGTCTCAAAGGCAACCTGGAGATGACGCTGGCCTCCAGGCTTTCCACAGCAGTAAGTCATGTTTGCCTCTTGGCTTTCTTATCCAGTTGAATTACCCACTTTGTGTTGATTCTGTGGCTATTCAGTGTTGGGTTTTTTTGTTTTTGCTGTCAAGAGTTGCCCCGTTCCATCTCGTGGCAATCCTGAAACTGTGACAGTCATCAAGGCAAATTGTTAACGGGGGTCACAGGTCATATTGACATAGGAGCCTGCAGTTTCAGATCCAACTGATAGCAACATTCCTCTCACCTTCTTTCTTACCGGAATGTTTCAACCCAACCTGCTCTACCATTCATATGGGTTGTTGTTGTTTGGCATACGTCAAATGTGCACTTCCTCTACACGCACACACCTGACAGACAAGAATGACTGACATGGTCAAAAAGCCATGCATAAAGATACTACCTTATTGCCATGTTTGGAATGTCTTGTGTGATGAAACTCAGTCTGCTGGGGTCGATACACTGAATATGGTATTTTCATCTGCTGGCTTGTTTCTGAGCGCTTCCAAAATGATTTTAAAACAACAATTTTCCACAACTACCGCTATTATACGCATACACCCTCCTAGGGATACGCAGTTCCAACGCCAATGCAATTATTTACAATGAATGATATATTATGTCCCTATTATTTATTTATTTTATTTTTTTAGCATAACTTTTGTCTGTATCCACTTGTTTATTGGGCACCAGGGTAGAGCTGGCTGATTATGGAAATAACAATAATCATGATTATTTTTGATTATTGAGATTGAAATCACGATGAATAAAATCATTATTCATTGACTTCAAAACTAGTGTTTATTCAACAACGAAAACTCATTTACTCAAAACTTTGATGATAGTTTCATGACCATTAATCCCTGCACATTGAACATGCTATTCTTGAACACTATTCAGTAAAATAAATAGGGATGTTCAATACCACTTTAAACCAATACCTTTGGTACTTTTGATGGGTAAAATGTCATTAAAGACAATGACAAAAAAATGGGAACAAAGACATTTCTTTCTGAAAGCAGATGATGAGCCACTGATGTGTCAAGCTGCTGTATTGGGCAGCCACAAACGATTATTTTGCGAGTCGACGAATCACCAACAGTAGTCACGATTAGTTGACTAAGATGCACCTAAAAGCATTCAATTTTCCCAAAAGCCAACAGTGCGCCCTATGATCCGATTAGCTTTAGACATGGTATTAGTTACAGTCTCTTTCTAGTCCCCAATGAGTTCTTTCCCTGTCAGTAGCTCCATCTAGTGGATGCATATTGCAGAGCGCAGCCACTATTGTAGGTTCTATTCCATGTGCCTTATAATGCAGTGCTCCTTACATATGAGAACAGTTTTAAAATAGGCAAGTCATTGAAGATGCGCCTTATAATCTGAAGCGCCTTATAGTGCAGAAAAATACGGTAATCAGATCATCGGTAAATCGCAACGTACTGCACCAGTATGCAACTGCTCTTATATAACCATGTTATTTTACAGCTTGAATTCCTTAACACAAGAGCTAACAGAGCAGTAATTTTGACGTCTTTCAAACTTTGATGTGTTCATACTCTGCGTATATAGATTGACGATGCTCCTTATGTCAGATGAGCTAAATCTATCGGAAAGTCTCTTGGCGGCCTGATACTCGTGACAAAACATCATAAATAAATTGTGTCACAGCAGAGTTCATAGTGTGGACGAAAAGTAGCGCCTTATAGGCCAGAAAGTATGGTAGCTATTACTGTGGTGTAATCTGAAAAGTACAATTCCTCTAACACAACTTATGTCTTGCCTTTATTTATCTTATTTTCTGCAGATAAAATATACCTTATCCTAAGTGCAAAGTCTCAACTGAGTTCAACTTGGACATTCAATTAGTGAAAAAAAAGTGAGAATTTGACTAGGTTCCAAACAACACCAAGTTATAAATGAGACAAAACAGCAAGGCAACCACTCCCACACTCGGTAGGTCAAGCCACACTGCTGGGCTTTCAAGCACCACAACAGTGTTCTCTATTTCACTTGAGCCACCACGCCTGACAGCATAGATTCCTGCGAGGTGTCTTCAAGATGGCTCGCTCCTGAAACGTAGCATGGTCTTAAGGCTACAGGACAAAAAACAGGAATGTCGCTCACTGATGACAGATAAGATGTCATCAATGCCACAGAGCGGGCAATAGCAATGTGCTTCTTTGGCAAGTCCTTCCACTGTCAGCCATCTTTGGGCGCACTTTCTCAAGGAAAGACATTTCTTTCTGAAAGCAGATGATGAGCCACTGATGTGTCAAGCTGCTGTATTGGGCAGCCACAAACGATTATTTTGCGAGTCGACGAATCACCAACAGTAGTCACGATTAGTTGACTAAGATGCACCTAAAAGCATTCAATTTTCCCAAAAGCCAACAGTGCGCCCTATGATCCGATTAGCTTTAGACATGGTATTAGTTACAGTCTCTTTCTAGTCCCCAATGAGTTCTTTCCCTGTCAGTAGCTCCATCTAGTGGATGCATATTGCAGAGCGCAGCCACTATTGTAGGTTCTATTCCATGTGCCTTATAATGCAGTGCTCCTTACATATGAGAACAGTTTTAAAATAGGCAAGTCATTGAAGATGCGCCTTATAATCTGAAGCGCCTTATAGTGCAGAAAAATACGGTAATCAGATCATCGGTAAATCGCAACGTACTGCACCAGTATGCAACTGCTCTTATATAACCATGTTATTTTACAGCTTGAATTCCTTAACACAAGAGCTAACAGAGCAGTAATTTTGACGTCTTTCAAACTTTGATGTGTTCATACTCTGCGTATATAGATTGACGATGCTCCTTATGTCAGATGAGCTAAATCTATCGGAAAGTCTCTTGGCGGCCTGATACTCGTGACAAAACATCATAAATAAATTGTGTCACAGCAGAGTTCATAGTGTGGACGAAAAGTAGCGCCTTATAGGCCAGAAAGTATGGTAGCTATTACTGTGGTGTAATCTGAAAAGTACAATTCCTCTAACACAACTTATGTCTTGCCTTTATTTATCTTATTTTCTGCAGATAAAATATACCTTATCCTAAGTGCAAAGTCTCAACTGAGTTCAACTTGGACATTCAATTAGTGAAAAAAAAGTGAGAATTTGACTAGGTTCCAAACAACACCAAGTTATAAATGAGACAAAACAGCAAGGCAACCACTCCCACACTCGGTAGGTCAAGCCACACTGCTGGGCTTTCAAGCACCACAACAGTGTTCTCTATTTCACTTGAGCCACCACGCCTGACAGCATAGATTCCTGCGAGGTGTCTTCAAGATGGCTCGCTCCTGAAACGTAGCATGGTCTTAAGGCTACAGGACAAAAAACAGGAATGTCGCTCACTGATGACAGATAAGATGTCATCAATGCCACAGAGCGGGCAATAGCAATGTGCTTCTTTGGCAAGTCCTTCCACTGTCAGCCATCTTTGGGCGCACTTTCTCAAGGAGCAAAGAAGTCGAGTCCCCGCCCCTCTCACATGTGTAAGTTTTTGGGACACTGGAAATCAATCAATAGCTTTCAGGATGGTCTTGGTACCAACCAGTTGTCCTTGTTTCTGAAATAATGTGATTCGCTGGTCTGTGTGGATCTCCGCCTGGGAGAGGAATCTTTTGTCCCTGAAAAACAGTTGCCTGAAAATGGAAAATCATAATGCATAAAAAGCCCCTATTCCACAAAGGGATGAACAATTGCAAAGATTAAAAAAAATAATAAAAAAAACTGCACAATCACGTCAGTTTGTCAGGTTTCGTTCAACTTTGCAAACATTTGCCGATCCTTTGTCAGATGTTCACCAACTTTCATTCATTCATTTTTGGAACCGCTTATCCTTAAAAGGGTCGTAGATGTGCTGGAGCCTGTCCCAGCTGCCTTAGTGCGAGTTGCCTAATGATTTTTTTGAATTTAATATGCAATTCTTCCACATATCCATGGTAGACGAATGTAAAAACAAATGACTATTTCACCGATTGTAAATTATTTCAAGTCTTTGAGCTGGTAGCACAAAAAAAGATTGTCCATGTTACATGCTGAGGGGTCATTGACCTTTCAGCATTGTACACCACATCCTTAAAGACACGAGAGAATTAGGCCAGAATTGCAGCTAAGCGGACCAATCCTCACATTCTTTCCACTCGTGTCTGGGGAAACAAGTGACAATGCTGATTAGCTCCGGCTCTAACTGACCAGGCTCAAATGACTCCCACCTCACAAGTAAGCCATTCCAACAAAATGAGCTTACAAGTTATGAAATCGTGAATGTGACAGTCTTCACATGCTGAGTCAGCCAAATATGTTAATCCACTAAGCAAACTAAAACAAATGAAACATGAATATGTACAAGGTAATGTAATGCATATTCACAGCTGTTGTTTACAGTCAAACATAATCAGCTTCCTTCAGCAAAACAAAAAATAAACAGGACAGAAAACCAGACCTACGTGACATTGAGTGCCTGAAATCTACTTAGCCCTTGCTTTTGTCCTAAACCTGTTGCCATTGCCCAAAGGTTTAAGCATAAAATGATCTGCCTTCAATCCCTACAAATTGGTCCAGAATGTTGGTGCTTGTCTTGAGACATTATTGTTAGCTCTTTATTGGTTGGCCCCGGCCTGACTATGTTTCTTTCCATGTCACTGCTAATCAAGAGATTAAAACTACACTAAATTTACTCAATGTGCCCATCATGCTTTAAAAACATCATGTAACCCTCCGTGGAGGTCAGCTGAATGATTTCCTTCTTTCCTTGCTTGTTTTCTGATCTTGTTACTATATATATATCGAGACTGATATTGCACTTAAAGGCCTTTCTATTATTCCCATGAAACGTTTGTATTTTTTTAACCTTAATTTTCACTCTATTTTCAAGCCATCTGCAAATTGGCTCGCATTTGGTGCTGAAAAATATTTCATTGTGTGAGTCCAAAATATTATTCACACTCAAGTGAATCCATGAGTCGGAAAACAAGATAACAGTACAAAAATCAATGTTCTGTCTGTGTCTTTATATTTAGAGTTTATTGGAAGTCCACAGTATAACCTCAGTGTTCTATGCCGATATTTGCTGTTTTGTTATCAGTTCCACAGAAACGTTCTTATCAACGTGCATGGCTATTTGAACAGCCATATGAATGTTGAATCAGGAGGGCTGCATCCACACGCATGTTTACATGGCCATGATAGTCTTGTGTGCTCTAATATTAAAGCTCAACTGACATAGTGTTCTTCACACAGACGGACATTGGCATGGATCGGAGAAATTGTGAATTTCTATGAGGTAGTTATGTAACACATGGTGGTTGTATACTTTCTTTGTAAAATGGTTAAAAATGAATACGTTTGGATATGTTCAAGATTTCTTGCTCTCAAATCCTGTAAACTGTGTGATTTGGAATCAGCAGCATTGCGCTGCATTGTTTCTAACGCATAACACAAGGCCCGTTGCTTTCAAGCTGCTCCTCATAAAAGGAGCTAGCAGACATTTTTCCCTTTTCTACTCCTGTCTATTGCCATAGCGGTGCGATGGTTAGTGCTGTCACAACACAGCAGGAAGGTTTTGGGTTCAAACCTGCCCGCTGGGGCCTTTCAGAGTGGAGTTTACATGTTCTCGATGTGCCTGCATGGGTTCTCTCTTTCTCCCACAGACCAAAAACATGCAAGTTTTTACAGGTTGGTTATACTCTAGAATAACTGTATGTAAAAATGTGCCTTTTTATGTCCATTTTGCCCAATGACAAATGTGCAGAATAACTTATCTGGGTGGTTGATGGGTGTTTTGAATTTTGAATTATCTACTTTTGTCAAATGCTCAGTTGCTTTTGTAGCCCTGTCTGTAGTGTGGTGGGGCACATAGGGACAACAAAGAAAACATTCAACCATTCATACTCCCGTTCAGTACTATTGACAATAAAGTCTACGATGACACTGTGACAAAATAGGCTCGGAATCAGAATCATCGTTATTGGCCACGTATGTAGAACACACAAGGAATTTCTCTCCGGTAGTACACGCTGCACTAGCATCATCATAAACAAGACATGACAAATAAGTATGGAAGACATTCCATAATGTAAGTGTACCATTGTGCGGTGGTACCACCCAATGACAACTGTGAGACAATGTGCAAAGTATCAAGCAGGGCTAAAGTGATCAGTGGTAGAATACAATACTATAACAGTTGTACAGTTGATGCAGAAAATCATTGAACCATTTTAAAGTGACCAGTAGCAGTATTTGTAGTATGGCAAGTGTGCAATTATGCAGATGTCCTTGAGCGCTTTAAAGTTTCTGGTGCTGTGGAATATAGATCAGTGACAGGGGTTCAAGTGAGTACAGAGCTGGAGCTATAATGATTATAGCGGTAATGCTGTTCCACAGGGTTGTGCAAAATTGCAAAGAGCCACAATACAGATAGATTTGGATTACTATTTAGGGAGTTAATGGCTAGAAGGAAGAAGCTGTTTAAGTGTGTGCTGGATTTAGTGTGCATGGATCGGTATCGCTTGCCTGAGGGGAGTAGCTGGAAAAGGTGGTGGGCAGGGTGCGGGGGGTCCAGTAGGATTTTCCGTGCCCTTGGATTAACCACAACTACAATTCCGCTGTGCTAGCGCCTCTTCAATGCTGAGCTCGTCTTAATGTACCCCGAAACAATATTCAACCTTTAATTTAAAAATACTAAGGGAATGTGTGGAATAATCCGACTCGAGTTCATTCGTGAAATCAGTTTGTTTCAATTGGTGGCATAGACGTCCAGATCTAGTGAGAACCTGTCGTGGTGTGCGCATGTGTGCTGGGTTAGTGACCTCACTTGGTGTAGACTGCACTGTCTCTCTCTCTCTGGAGTGGTGGCACTTGCGGATTGAAAACGTTTCCCTTCGCACTGAGAAGGGCAGGTTGGGCAATCACCGTCAGTTGAGGAGTTTGTCCCACTTGGAGAGGGAGTCTATTCCGACGCAGTTCAGCAAATGAGTACATTTTAAATGTTTCTGAAATTTTATTTTATTTTATTACCTTTTTGAAGTCTTTGAGTATTTGAAACCGGCTCCCAGAGTGTATTGATCTCAAAGACTGTCCTCACATTTTTTGTTGTTACATGAAACGAGGACTTGGTGGTCCCAGTTCTCACGTGACAGTGTGCAAACACTGGCAACATTTATAACACTAAAGGGGGATTGTTGTGTTGGATGTTCATCACCTTGGCAGTGATTTAGGCTTTCGTTCTGAAGCTGAAATTCTAGCTCGCCATCAGTCCACACAAACGCACTTTTCTTGGTCGCTTTGCATTCACCGCCATTGTTGTGAGCATGTTTACATCGCTTACGCTTCTTAATCGCGTCGTTCCAATGCCTTTTCAGGCCTGGCATATGAACTACAAGGTTTTAGCATCTGTGTGGTCAAATGCATTTCTTGAAACTGTCCAGTGTTTACGGGAAACAAGAAATTAGATAAGCTCTGTTTCTGTGCAAACGTGGTCGAACAGAGACTCAAACCACAGAAACCATCAACCAAGTTGTTGTACAGCATTAGTCTCCTTTCTTTGTCCTTTTATTTTATTCACAGAATGTGAAAAAAATGGAAGGAAGCAATATTTTGTTGTTTGCTGGATTAGACCAAAACCAAACGATCAGAGCAGTCCAGAGAGAGTGAGAGTGAGAGTGAGAGAGATGGATGGAGGTCAGGACAAACTTGTGCTTGGTGACCCACTAAGCGCACCAAATGCAGCAGATTTACCTGTGATGAAAAGCCATGGCTGCGCGTCGCACTTGGGCTTTCAACAGTGGACCACTGTGACCACTGATCACAATCCGTTGATGTTTGAGAGCATCGTTTGTGTGTGTTTGTGTTGTTGTGTGTGTGTGTGTGGGGGTGTGTGTGTGTGTGCGTGCGTGTGTGTGTGTGGTGAAAGAGAGGAGATGAGATAAGTGGAGTCAGCCTGTGTGGGAATCAGAGATCAGAGCATCTTTGTCTGGAAAACTGATCTCCTATTGTTCTGACGGGGCCAAGAGGCAACAACGTGCACAAACACATTCATCTGCAAGTGATAACCAACTTGCTATGTTGTGCTTTGTCTTTCAGGCTAATATTGGTCTAATGGACACAACCAAGGACATGTGGAACATGATCATGGGGAACTTGGCTCTCATCCAGGTATAGAAAACATCAATAGGTATACACTTCAATAAAGTAACGTTATCATTAGTTTCAAAATGCAAAAATAAATGTATTTGGTGTTTTGCTGGTTTCACTGCATCTCTTGATCAACCTAAGGTTTTTACTAATACCGTGGACCCTTGCGGACGGGCCGACCTGCGAACACCAAAAAGCTGCGTATAATTGACACCCAATGAAATCCAATGGAAAAAAAAAAAACAAACGAAAATTCATTCATTCATTGATTCATTTTCCGAACCATTTTATCCTAACTAGGGTCGCGGCGGGTGCTGGAGCCTATCCCAGCTGTCTTCGGGCAGTAGGCGGGGGACACCCTGAATAGGTTGCCAGCCAATCGCAGGGCACACAGAGACGAACAACCATTCACGCCCACACTCACACCTAGGGACAATTTAGAGTGTTCAATCAGCCTGCCATGCATGTTTTTGGAATGCGGGAGGAAACCGGAGTACCCGGAGAAAACCCACACAGGCCCGGGGAGAACATGCAAACTGCACACAATTTTCTGAAAATACGCAAAACTTTCGCTCGAGATGATTTTTGATGTTTCCGTGCATTTGTTCAGGTCCAGGCCACAGTCGTAGGGTTCCTGGCCTCCATTGCTGCTGTGATCTTCGGTTGGATTCCAGAGGGCCACTTTAGGCTGGGCCACGCAGTGTTGCTTTGTGCCTCCAGTGTAGCGACTGCCTTTATTGCCTCGCTGCTATTAGGTACATATCATTTCCACCACATGTGATGCCGGGGATATTGAATTTGGATTAACCATCATTCAGAAATATACGCTAATCTCCAAAAACATGGGAACAGTGAGGCATTTTTTCCCCTCATTAGATGAGATTTCATATCATTAGATGAATATGAGACAAGAGATCAACATTTCAGCTCTCATTTCGAGAACTTAGAAGATATCATCTAGTGTCTGAACAGAACTCATTTTCATTTGAGCAAAAGTATTTCACCATATGAGTGACACGTTTGTTTTGATGCTCAGGTGAGTCTTATTACATGATTATCCAAACAATAAATGCCAATGAACACTCCCATTCATTAAAAGTGGCTTTTACGTGCCGCTAACCGGTAAAAAAGGAGCAAACACGCAAGCCCCTTAAAATTCCAACCTTCGACCTGATCGGGGGGGGGGGGGGGGGGGTGAACGGGTAAACTCAAATCTACCATCGCTGCAGCTGTGCGCGCGCACCTCGGCTCCACCAAACGCCAGAACCGCGACTGGATCACTGCAAACACACTGGCCCTTGCAGAGTGATCCAGGCTTGCGCGAGTAACGGGAGCAGCCAACTTCCGCCAACTATGGCGACTTAGCAGTCGGGCAGATCGAAACGTCTATTGGCGCTATTTTGCCGAAGAAACTGAGAGGGCCGCCGCTGCGGGGGATACCCGCAGGTTTTATCCGCTGGTAAAGAAGGCGAGCCGGAAATCCACCGGAGTCGGCGAAACGATCTGCGCAGAGAACGGTTCCGTGATAACCGCCTTAGAGGAACAACTGCAATGTTGTACATTTGAATTTGAAGCCCTACACAATCACCCACCACCACTATTAGCGCCTGTGCTTCCTGCAACTGACGAGGAGTATGACTGCAGCTCGTACCCGCCTACGGTTGACGAAATTCGAGGGGTCCTGCGTCACCTCTGGAATAATAAAGCCCCAGGTGAAGACGGCATCACGTCGGAAGTATACAAAAGCGACGTTGACGTCTTCGCAGCATGGCTTCATCGTGTCAACAACGCCGTGTGGACGTCCGAGACCATCCCGGATGACTGGAGCGAAGCAGTGTTACTACCCCTTTTCAAGAAGGGAGACAAGAAGCTGTGCACCAACTACAGAGGCATTAGCCTTCTCGATGTGGCTGAAAAAGCATTCGTATTCCTTCTGCTGAAACGCTTCCAGATGGCGCGTGACCCCCGGACTCGCCCTACTCAGGGCGACTTTCGCCCCGGAAGGGGATGTGTAGACCAGATCTTCAGTTCTGTGTTGCACCCTGGAGCAACGATGGGCCTACCAACAACCAACAGTCGTGTGCCTCATCGACTTTGCAGCGGCATTTGATTCAGTCGACCGGGGTGCTTTGTGAAGGATCACGCAGGCTGACGGGATCACTGTGAAACTCCTTCGGCTCATCCAGGGGTACTACCGGTCAACCCGAGTCCGAGTGCGGGCATACGGCAACAAATCAGAAGCCTTCGAGGTGCGGTCGGGTGTCCTACAAGGCTGCGCGCTCTCGCCAACTTTGTTCAACTACACCATCGACCACATTCTCAACACTGCTCTCCATGGCTTTGAGGGTGTGAGAGTCGGCCGAGATGTTGCAGTGTCGGACCTGGCGTACGCGGATGATATCGCTCTACTTGGAAACACGTTTGAGGAAGTTGAAAACGCGCTGACGAAAATCCATCGAACGGCCCTGACCGTTGGAATGTGCATCAACACCTCGAAGACCAAGATCATGTCCTCTTTCACCAACCCAGCTGACCAGTGGTCGTCGTTGCTGGAGGCCATGGCCTTGGAAAACTCCTCTGTGGTTCCGTCGGGGCAAGGAGAAGCGGAAGTCAATCACCGCATCGTGGCCACCAGATCCGCCTTCGTGCGACTACAACGCCATCTGTGGGGTGGGCGCGAGATCTCTGCAGTGACGAAGGGGCGCCTCTACCAAGCGATCATGCGGACCATCCTCCTTCATGGCTGTGGGACATGGCCTTTGAGAGTGGCCGAGCAGCGTAAGCTGGAAGTCTTCGACAACGATTGCCTCCACCGTATCCTCCGCCGCCGCCGATCGGACCGGGTCCCTACTGCTGAACTTCGCCGCTGCCTGCACCTTCGTCCCTTACCAGCGATTCTCCTGCAAAGCCAATTCCGTTTGTTCGGACATGCGGCACGCCACCAGGAAGGCGAGCTGATCAGGGATGTTCTTCCTGCTCCTTTGCCAAGCGGCGCGGTGGACAAGTCAAGACCTGGGCCGCCAGGTGGTGGGTCTGCGACGGTGGAACCAGGACTGGCTGAGGCTGTCGGTTGACCTTGCAAAGGATCACCACGCATCGGCCGCCATGATTAGGGACGTCGTGCATGCCAAGGAAAAAGCCGCTCAGGGTGAAGGCCGTCGCAAAACGAAACAAAAAAAAAAACATGCAAGCACACGCAATTGGTGATCTGCCTCACAAACCACGATGCCAAGCAGAATGCATCTCGGTGCGCTGGTGGTATTTGTAAGTATTTACATGAGATAAGTGGCGGACAACTCCCACCATCGACCTAAGAATTTCATGCCGAGAGACGACAGTTCAGCCCGAGCCAATCAGATGAAAGGCCCGTTCACGTCTCCTCAGTCAGGATCCCAAAGTTGTATTCTGATCATTTCCTCTTTCTTTAATAAAAGAAATGTAATAGAAATAATAATAGCCTCGTGCATTTTATTTCAAGGCGCCTTTTTTGGCACTTGGACCCCATACAATATGCCATTATGTTAAATTAAAAGTACAATCAGTGAGAGAAAAAAAAAAGGAGCAGATCAAAATGTCACATTGAGTCGGCAGTTTTAAATTAGTTCATTTTGAGTTGGTATTTGCATTGAGCGATAAAATAGTCTCTTGCTAATCACCATCGTTCTGCCACAGTTCTCGTCATTTATACTTTGCCATGTGTGCAATTGGGGAAAACAGGTGCAAGCTGTTACTCAGCTGTCAAAGTTTGTGGGCATATTTGCGCTGGTGTGTCATCAGCGCAATACCCTTTGTGAAAAAGGACGTTAAGACAGAGCAAACTGCGGGTGCAAATAGAGAGAGCAATTCTCTGTGCTGTCAGAATCTTCGTAGATTCGGCACTCAATTTTAGATGTTTGTTTTGCCTGTGCATTGGAGGTGTCAGTGTCCTGGTTCCTTTTGCTCAAGAGGACACTGAAAATATTGTCTCCCCCAAAACAAACAACTGAACGAGGGTTTTGGCAAAAGCCTGTGAAACCAGGATTTTTGACTCATTGTTGATTGTTTACTCAGTTCAATTTTTAGTCTGTCTATTTCAAACATTTTGGTCATCTTTAAAAAAAAAAAAAAAAGTGTTCGTCACAAACAGATATTTCCATCTTTGAAATTTTCTTTCAGTTGCCGCCATGAATATATGTGCCGGTAAAACTGAAATGTTGATTACTTGTCTCATGTTTTTGATGTGAAACCCAACCGTTTTCAGTCGACAGCAAAAATAAAGGAATTTAGCTTGCTATTCAAAATACTTTTGGAGGGCAATGTCGATGACATACCAGAAAGTGAAACTTATCTACGATGTCTACATGCTTTGGCCCACAGGAATCATCATGATTGGTGTGATCATTGCATCCAGGAAAGTTGGCATCAACCCAGATAATGTGGCCACACCTATTGCTGCTAGTCTCGGAGACCTGATCACCCTGTCGCTCCTGGCCGGCATCTCAACAGGACTCTACAAGGAACTTGGTAACAAAACCATAGCTTCAAGATACCAGAGTGTCACGTTTGAGACCTATTCAATGAACCTTAAAGTCCATGCTTTGGCAGTCGAGCCATTTGGGATAGGGATGTCCCAATCATGCTTCTTTTTTTTTCCATCAACCGAGTCCCAATCCGAGTCTTTAGTTCTAAGTATCTGCTGATCCCAAGTCCAATACTTGGGCAATGCATTCAGAAAAAGAGGGCGTGCATCACATTTTTCTAAAATTAATATTGAAATATACTGTACATAGACATGTGTATACATCATTTGCATGTTTATATATATATATGTGTGTGTGTGTGTGTGTGTGTGTGTGTGTGTGTGTGTGTGTGTGCACACGTGTGCGTGTGTGTGTGTGTGCGTATATATTGAGAGAGTGAGTAAGTGAGAGAGAGGCGGACGGACAGATGGACCAAAGCAGTACCAATTGCTTTTTATAACACGCAAAATAAACTCACTGTTCCCTGTTTTCCATTGGGTTTTTTTTGTTTTTTTTTTAAAGCACTAAATTTGATGATACACATATTGAACAACTCAAAATGTGTTTTGGTCCATCTGAGATGTTTTTATACAGAAACTCTTTGTGTGTTTTTAGCATTAAAATGATCAAATACGGGAACTATATCCATAGCATTTACGCTAATGAATGTTAACTTTAAACCAAATACATATTAATGTGGACGACGCGTTCTAAAAATGTATTTTTAGACGCATATGGGATGCAAATGGCATCAATTTGGTGGAATTGCCACTGTATGAGGGCATTTGATTTGTTCACACGTACCGTTTTAAAGTGCTTCCCTTGGCCCTCTAGATTCCTATTCCTTGCCCGTGCCCTCGGTGAATTGGACACGAAACAAACTCTGAATGAGAATAATGGTAACGATAAAAGATATAGCGCAACACCTCTGATCACAAGCTGCAATTGCAGACTGCTGAGCGCTAACAACTTCCGGTGACACAGGTCACGCGCCACCATAGGTTAAACATTTACCTGCTTTATTTTGTTTTATTTTTTTAATAATTTTTGTGAAAATGAGACTGATAGGATGATTAGGGTGCAGTGTACATTCACACAAAAAATATATTACTAACATGCACAAAGACACACAAATCGACTTTGGGCCAGTCCGCGATCTACCAGTCGATCGCGATCAGCGTAATGGGCAGCCCTGATTTATAGTCTTGTGCGGGCGAAAATTAAGACTCCACACAGCTCTGTAGTTGTTGCGTACGTGCGTGACTTCTGTCATCTAGAAATGACACTTTATTTATGACCTTGTTAAATGCAACCAGTAGGGAACAAGCTTGCTTGTAACCAAAAAATTTCCACTTGTTAAAATTCTATTTGAAGATACATTGTTTAGACGTGTCACAATTGCCAACCTGTCTGTCAAACACTCAACTCTTTGACGATGCCGTTTAGCGAGGAGGCTTCTTTACATCAGGCAAGGCAGACGTATTTCGAAGTATCTTTCAGCTTGCCAAACCATCTTAAGTCAAACCTGCTATGCTGCCACTGCCTGTTGGTGAAGTGCAGGGGGAGGGTGTGTGTGTGTGTGTGTGTGTGTGTGTGTGTGTGTGTGTGTGTGTGTGTGTGTGTGTGTGTGTGTGTGTGTGTGCGCGCGTGTGTGTGTGTGTGCACCCATCCCTGCCGGCAGCTCTGTTAGTGTTGCTAACTTCACTATTACTAAATTTAATCATAATAATAATAAACACATAACATGGTGTAATGTAAAACAAAGTCATTATGTTGTATTTGGTAAGATATTTGCATATATGGATTAGTTTGTAGGTTATTGATCTTTAGAAAATGAATAAAATCGATGGTTTTCCCATTGATAACAGATCAGATGAAAATCATGTAATCAGCCCCGATTTCCGATCACGTGATCACATCAGGATATCCCTCATTTTGAATCGAGCCAAAATGTTTAAGCCCTACAAAGATCGAGAGCCTGAACTGTCATCATGCATTTTGTCACGTACGCCCTCAGTGTTTCACAGTTTTCTGTGCATCTAGAGCAGTGACCCTTGAAACGCACGCAAGATTCAGACTAAACGTAAAATATTGCGTCACCACTGCATTTCTCGGGTGCCTTTGTTTGCGGGGACACTACACAGGGGTTGCTTTAAATGAAGAAGAGGAGGGGCCTCCTCCTTCATCTCCGACAGAAAGAAAAAAATTGGACATCGCTTGTCAATCTGGGAGTCATGTTATTGCGTTGGCTGCTAAATGTGATTTTTGTTGACACTTCAACAGACAAGTCAATACACTCACCTTCGTAGGCCAGCTTCCTCACTCCGCCTTCTCCAAGCTTGCTACTCTTTTACTCGGTGCCGGAAGCTGGCTGTGTTGTGTACTTCTGTCTTATAGACAGCAATGATATCGTCTTACGTTGTTTTTATTTCACCACGCTGCAGAGCTGAGCAATAAGATCTTACATATCGCGAAGACAATAGATAAAATATCTTTCTACTATTGTGTTATTGTCGTTTGTCATCTGTAGCAAAAAGCTGTACATTTGTTTGTGCTTGTGCTGCTGCTGCGTGATGTATTCAGCGAAGAAGTGAAATTTTTCCTTTAAATGCTTCATCCACGCCATCCGGCACTCAACCATGCCAACTGCATCGAATACGTATGGAAACTGTCGCTGGAAACGCTCAGTTTGCGTTCAGTCTGATCTCAGCATCAGGGTACGAAATCCTGCGCAGTTCATTTTTCTTGTTACGGGACATGTTTATGCAAACAGATGAATTTCACATGAGCAATGTAATTTTTCATCTTTCAATAGCATGTCTGAAAGACAGACACGAAGTAGTGTCAGCATTGCAAGAGCAAATGGGAGGCGGCAGGGAGAACTTTGTCATGCGTGAACATTCTTGAAACACCAACAAATTTTTCACAACTTAAAATCACTTTAGCAGTGTGGTTTTCGAGCTTCTGAATGAACTCATGGATGGATGACTTGGTACCGGTCACGGAGCCAATGCAGCCGAAGTCTCTTACTTCGAATATGTCTACTCAACTGATTAATTTTGTCTTGGTCGCCATCGGTGCAAGGAAATCTTGCTTCACAAAGATAGCATGTTGGATATGGACCCAAGCAATTCAAGTGCTTTTGGGGGCAGTTTTGAAGGCTTCAATTCTTCATTTAACATTACTTTATTGGTTGACAGATATTGTCGCATCAAACTAGCACAACACAAAACTCGTTTTTTAAAGCATATCCTCTCGCAATAAAGAGAACGTGAAATACTGGATGTCATCTAATTGTACGCCCTCTGTTGAGTGTCACATTACTCATTTTTATATGCAATAAATTGCACGACACTGCGTTGCACTGGAATGATGTTACACTAGTAATGTTCACGTGCTTGGGAGGGGCAAAGCCAGATCTCGTTTTGTTCTTTCCAAACAATACCGCGCTAAGCTGAGTTAAATTGTCCAGCTCAGTGAAGGTGTCTAAAATGTTAAATGATGGGTGCAAAAAGAGGACACGTGATTCCTCACCTATTTGCCTTCATTGTTGGTATATTTACGCTTCACCACACCCAGTCTTACCACTCTATATCCCCTGTTGCGTCATCTTCTGTTGGCTGACAGACAGACAGGACAAACACAGCACACCTCTGAGAACAATGTTAAACATTGTGACCTGACTGAGGTGTCGCCTCATATCTTTTGTATCTTACGACGTTGTGACTTAAAATGTGACGCATAAATCAACTTGGTGTGATTCAATGACACATCCTGAAGAATTGCAACACTTGCTTTCTTGCTGTGCCGCTCGGAGACCAGTTCTTGTACACCAAAAGTCAACGCCAATCTGTCCCATTCAAATGGAAATTAGTGGAGAGGCTGAAAGTGCCCAAATCAAAACTATTTTAACACTCTAGAGCAGGGGTGTCAAATTCATTTTTGTCGCGGGCCATTTTGGGGTTACATCTTCCTTGTACACAAGTAATTGATGGATTACCCGTTTTGCTCAGTTATTGTTTGAGTGAGTGACAGGGTAACAAAATTATCACAAAACCTCAACATTATTTGTTAAACATAAAATTTGACATTTCGGTACTAATTTTAGCAAGGATCATGGAAGTTGACGCGCGTGAATTGCTTTCGCGGGCCACATAAAATGATGTGGCGGGTCGGATCTGGCCCCCGTGCCTTAACTTTGACACCTGTGCTCTAAAGTTACCCTTTTTTTGTGTGACTCATCCATATTTGAGGATTTCAAGCAGAACTACGATTAAGTTTCAATATTGCCCGGATGTAAATCACAGAACATGATTTGTCTCATGCAGAAAACAACGACTATGCCAATCCTCTGGTATGTGCGGTGTTTGTGGCATTGTGTCCAATATGGGTGCTGATAGCCAGGAAGATCCCATCTACGAGAGAAGTCCTCTACTCCGGATGGGAGCCTGTCATCATCGCTATGGCCATCAGCAGGTATGTCCCTTAAGGTCCTTTCCGCCTTTCTTTTACTCTATGACAACACAGCGAATACTTCACAGTCACAGTCCGTATTATACAGTTTATTCACGCTTTTCTTTTGTTTACCGTTTAGCGAGTACGATTTCACTGCTATTTCTATATGTTCATTCTAACTCCAAAACCGATGATCCTGAAAGGTATTCACTGTCTGTGTTTCAGTGTCGGTGGTCTTATTCTTGACAAGACCGTTACCAACCCAAACTTTGCTGGCATGGCTGTCTTCACTCCAGTCATCAATGGTGAGCAGTCCATGTGTATGTAGCATGAAGCGCAACACTAGATTTAGCAACATACAAGGTTTATTCCTTGGCTACACGTGAGAACTGGTCAACATCCATTCATCCATCCATCCATTTTCTGACCCCCTTATCCTCACAAAGGGTCGCGGGGGGGTACTGGAGCCTATCTCAGCTGTCTTCGGGCAGTAGGCGGGGGTCACCCTGAACCGGTTGCCAGCCAATCGCAGGGCACACATCGACGAACAACCATCCGTGCTCACACTCACACCTAAGGACAATTTAGAGTGTTCAATCTGCCTGCCATGCATGTTTTTGAAATGTGGGAGGAAACTGGAGTGCCCGGAGAAAACCCACGCAGGCATGGGGAGAATTTGCAAACTCCACACAGGAAGGCCGGAACCGGAATCGAACCCTGCACCTCTGTACTGTGAGGCGGATGTGCTAACCAGTCGCCCACCGTGCCGTCCAGACATAAATACAAATGGCAGTTACAAAACAATAAATGAAAGATAAAAGTAATGAAGACAATTGATTTAACAAAAAATGCACAGAAACCTCCTGGGCCCACAACCATAAGGGGCTACATATCCTTAGAAGTCTTCCTTGTCTCCTTCTTCCTTTGTTTAGTCAGTAGTTAACTATGCTTTTGGCATTGCCTTTGTTTCATAATGGCTGCGCAGAGCTCACAAAGTAGTTGTCTATCTGAGTGTGTGTTGGCGAAGCGAGCAGTAACTCGCTGGTGCCAATGGAGTTACTATGGCCTCTATTTTCATGACTGGTGTAAATCCAATGCATGGTGTATCTCTGCAAGGAAATATGTTAGACTCGATGTTGGTGACTTCGTAGATGAGCGTAGGCCAGCAGATTTGCGAGGGAGAGGGCTGCGCCGCTGTGGGAGTGGTCACAGCCGATTTCAGTCTCGGCCAATCAAACACTCCGAACATTGGAGTAAGTGTCGGTGAAAGCTAATGCTGGTACCCCTGTAAGCTAATGTGAATCTCTCCTAACACCGCAGCTATTATACACTTACTTTAGGGCTTTGAAATAATAGTGCTTACTTGTGTAAAGTAGCTAATTTGCGACGCCACATTTCATAAAATTCAAAACGGCTTGCTCATAGACCATTTTCTGAAATACACAACTCTATTTTTGTATGTTTGTATTTAGTGTTTGCATGTTGGTGAATTTTTAAAGGAAAAAAAAAGAATTTTTAAGTTCAAAATGAAACAGACTCCAAATGATTTTCCACCCTCCAACCTTCATTTGTGTGTCTGTTTGTCAGGCGTGGGAGGTAATCTGGTCGCGGTTCAGGCCAGTCGAATCTCCACCTACCTGCACATGAATGGTATTCCCATGGGGGATCCGAACCCCACGCCCAGGAACAGGAAGTGCCCCACACCTTGCTCCACTTTCTTCACCTCCAGTAAGGTTCTCAGTTATCCAATTAAAACATGGTAATGGTCATTTAAAGTACAAAACGAATGCTAATTTAAATGCTGGAATTTAATACTGTACTGAATTGCAACATTAACACATTAGGCTGTCTCAGATACAATATAATTAACAGCTGTCTGGCAATGTCAATCAAATGTAAGCATAATTAAATCAAGAGATTTTTTTTAATGCATCTCAGTGCAGATTGTCATAAACTGGACAGTCAGTTTGTTATTTGAAGAAGAAAGCAAAGCATTTGTACCGTGTGTGTGTGTGTGTGTGTGTGTGTGTGTGTGTGCGTGTGTGTGTGTGTGTGTGTGTGTGTGTATATATTAGGGTGGTCCACATTTTCATGGCAAAAAAAAAAGTTTGTCGGATTCGTCGGGCCGGGTCGGAATTCTTGTCGATACTATGGTACAAGGTTCTGTGCAAAATTTCATTCCGATCTGATGATATTTTCCCATCCCGCAAAGCGGCCAAAGTTTCCACCATAACAACTGGTCTCAATAGGGTGAACATGTGTATTTTAACCGTGTATTTTGCCATGCGTGACACTGGCTGGGCTGAATGTTGCCCGAACGATCACCTCCTGACTAACTAACCATTCCATCGCTGCTCTCAGCAGCCGGAGACAAACTCAAACGCACGCCTAACACACAACGGTCACCTACTGGCGAGCTAATATCTTTCAATTGAAGTCGAGAATCGCCGGAATTCTTACTGGACGCTG